TAGGTTGAAGAAGAATCGATCTGTGTACCCTGCAATGTGGATATCAATGGAAGGTTTGGTGGTTTAGATTTTGCATTTCAAAACAGCATGACTTTCGGTTTATATGCTTTGAAAATACATTATAAATTGTAGAATTTTGTTGTACAGGGTGAAAAGAAAGTTGTAACGGAGAGAGGGTCTGGTCTAGAGTGGGTGCTGAGCAGTATATATTAGTGTCATAAGGATACGATTTGAAAAATTCATTCGAAATAATTTGATCGATATATGAAGAATGAATAGGAGTGGCCCCAGGGCTGACCCCTGAGGCTCTCCTTTGGTTACACTGAATGAGCTAGAAGTGCAACCTTCAGCCTGCACACTGTGTTCTATCTGTAATGTAGTTGTAAACCAATTATCCATTTGTATTGACAGTCATTCACTCAGTTTATGTTAAAGTGCTGTATAGTCCACTGTATCAGATGCCTTGGATATGTCTGTAGAGAGGGCTGTGCAATGCTTTTCCTAGATAGTGACTTAGTGAGCAGACAGATGGAAGAGTCATTTTACAGTTAAATTTGAGTTGCTCAAAAAAATCAACTTTGAACTAAGCTAATCAAAAATATAAGATGTACCTGATCATCAAACCACTTGGAAGTTAGTGCAGGAACATCAAACACACACACACACTCAGGGAGCAGAAAGAGAGAGGGAGAAGAGGAGGCAGAGGAGGAATCATGTTTTACCCACTATCACTGTTTATCCTTCTCTAATTTGGCCATTTCCTAATTAAAACAAATCACTGTATTATCACTTTGTATGCAGTTCAAACAAGTCAGTATTGAATAATCTATTCTATAAGAAAGTATGAAGTATAAAAAACTGTCTATGTAAAATAAGGTTACTTGGAGGTCATTGGTCATTTATGATAACTTACAACCTTATGCTTCTGCTTCTGCTTTAAAGTATGAGTGGTTAGTGAAAACAACGGTGGGAATTTGCTGTGTGAGTGTAAGGCTGCCACCTACTGAGAGCTGTCTTCAAACTAGATGTGTGTTTGCAATGAGAGGAACAGTAATGCTCTCTCACCCAAACACATTTCCTTGGTGCTCGGCAGTCATGGCGGCGGGAAGGTCCTGCTGTGACGGGTAACGAGGTAATTGAATTTCAATTTGTTAATAGCTCCTTCTTGCACTTCACATCTAATGTGACCCATTTCTCCCTCCCTAAGAGAAGATGAGACAACTGCTTTCACTTTATTTTTCTTTTCATTTCACCCCTCTTTCATTGTTAAAAAAAACATATTTTCACTCTTTACAGTAATTTCATATCAAACTTCTGAAGATAAATTTAAATCTGTGAGTTGCAACCTTCAGAGCATGTTGCAGTTCTAACCACACCCCATTTAGTGATGACACTGCTTTTGTGTTGCTGTTGAAATATCAGCTCTGATGTTACGGATGAGGCGTGGAAAGACATGTTTTGACTATTCTTTTTTAAATATAGTTTTTCAGTGAATTGCTTTAAAAACACAGAATCTCCCATCACTGTACAAGTGCCAATCCAGGCCAGTAGTGTTCATGAAGAGGAGGGCTGGTTGCTAGGTTGCATATTCCTCCAGTTTAAAAACCTCTTTGATACCTGTGTGGCTGTATTCTCTCATAGGCATGCACCCACTCACATGGATCAGGCAAGAAGCGTACACACACACACACACACACACACACACACACACACACACACACACACACACACACACACACACACACACACACACACACACACACACACACACACACACACACACACACACACACACACACACACACACTGCTGTTTAACACACGTATGCCCTAGCAGGTAGGTGTGGTTCTCTCAAAAATCAGGACAATAACAGCTGCCCTTTCCACCTTACAAAATACCACGGCATCTTCTTGGCTGGGCAGCTACATGAGCCGTCTAAACACACTAACAAGGTGAGCAGACGATGTGAGCTGTTGTGGCTGGTGTCTGTGCTCCTTCAGGAGGAACCGACAACAACTGGACTGGCAGCGCTAATAAGGTGTCAGCGCAGCTCTGCCCCCTCGCTGAGAAAACAACCATGCAGCTCCCCTCCTGCTCCAACCAGGATGCACGTATGAAACCTGCAACAGGGGAGATTTTTCACACAATACAAACCTGTCTAATCAGCCACAAAGTGATTCCCATTGTAGAGAAAAGAGACTCCCAGCTCTACCAGAGAAATTGGGGATGGATGGCAGCACAAGATGTTCTCCACACAGCGGTAGTAAAGCATGACAACATGACAGCTGTTCACCATCTCCATCCCAGCAGACACTGGGAACATGCTGTAAAGACTGTGATAAAAACCTTTAGTATCTTGTGCTGCAGTTCTTAGGATAGTTAAGGTGTTCGTTCATCATTTGTCATATGAAATGTGTGTGCATATAAACAAAAAAAGAGTTATCTGTCATGGCAATCATTTTTCCTGTCTTTAATAACTGTAGGTGGATACATATATATCATAACCAAGGAACTAAATGTGCAGTCCTCATTCTGTAAAATAGTTTATAGTTGCATTCAAGCTTATAAGAGGATTGCAAAGGTTTCAAAATCTCTGAATCACTGCTTGCATCTGTATTGGAAAAACTAGAGCTTTGCAGACAGAATTGACAATGTATAAACCTCCTACATAGCTGGTAGTGGCCTTACACCATACATGGTAAATTTAACGGTAAATTCACTGCACTTATAAAGCCCCTTTCTAGTCTTCTTACCACTCAAGGTGCTTTACATGAAAAACATGGTGTGCATATATGTATTGTATGTATATGCATGTATATGTGCATATTTATATGTATATGTGTGTATTGTGTATGAGTGTGTACATATGCAGGTATGTATATTTGTACATTTGTGTGTACATATGTATAATGTATCCTTATTTCTGTTCTAGTTGTGTCCTGTTAATCCTGTTTATGATTAATGTTATTTGTTATGTGTTGTAATGGTTGCATTGTCACTATGTAAAGTCTGTTGTGAGGACCCCAGGAAGAATAGCTGTTGTAATGCTGCAGCTAATGGGGATCCCAATAAACTAAACTAAACACTGCATGTCAGCATTCACCCTTTAAAACACATGCTCACACTAATCAAATGTCATGCAAGGCCAGTAATCACCAAATCATTCACACACAATCATATACACCATTGGCTTAGCCATCTGGAGCAATTTCTGGGGTTCAATGTCTTTCCCAACAGTAGAAGCCAGGGATTGAACTGCCACTTGAAGGGCTACCCACTCTACCTCTGAGTCAGAAATAGTTTTACAAAAGTAGCCACAAAAATGGTGAGCAGCATTGTTTGCCACTGTGCAAGATGGAAGACAATGCTCAAATTTAAAGGTCATGTTATTCTACTCCCTTTGAACAAGTTGAAATTAGTCTCAGAGCTCCCCAAAACATGTCTGTAAAGTTTCCGTCTCAAAATTGACTCTGCTCCTGTATTTGATCATGCCTATAAACAGCTATATTTCAGCCCTGCTCAGGACAGGCTGTTTCTGTGTCTGTAGCTTTAAATGCAAATGAGCTGTGTCTGGAAGGGGATGTACCTTAGGCTGTCTTGCATGGTGAGAAGGCAGACTCAGAGGCAAAAACAAACACCTAGCTGTGGGAGTGTCAAAGTGCCCTTTGTGATGTCATGAAGGGAAAATCTTCCTATGCCCTATTAAAGCACACATTTGCACGCATCCATGGAAATACAAAGAGGGATCTTTAATGATTATAGCCTGGTACTGTTAAGATACAGTATATACAGCATTTGGCTAACAAACACGGTTAAAGCTTAATCTCTAACTATTTTTTTTTTACTTCACAGCATGACTGACTGATCACTGATTGTTTTGTCCTCTGTTCTTGCTCGAAGGTTTACTTCTGAGCCAATATGAAGAATAGGAAAGATAACAGCAAACAACGACCCTGTCAACATCAGCATGGTACAACATGGTACATGATGATCATATAGAGATAAACTTTGAAAGATCAAAAAAGTCAAAGTTTACAGAAACAAATGAATGTGTGAATAGAGCTTGAATATGTATTTCTGTTAGCTGTTCATATGTATACGTAAGAGGAGACAATGAGGCAATCTTTTTATTAGCCTTTGCTGCTGTAGTGAAGCTTATTTTGCAGCATGCATTCTAATGAGAGACGAGGCGATGAGGGGAGGGGATGGAGTGAGCGTGGGGAGGGGAGGGGGGGTTCTTATGTAACTTGGCGTTATATAACCCAATGTGCACGGCCTTCTCTCTCTCGCTCTCACTCGCTCTCTCTCTGTCTCAGACAACCAGACACACAGCAGCGAGAGCAGGAAGGAGAGGATGGAGGGGTTTAAAAGGGTGCTGGTGTTAATGAGGGCGATCTGAAGAGGTATGTGCCTCGGTGTAGAGACATACCTCATTACGCCACTGTTTCTAATAATGATGGTGATGAGGATAAGTTGTTCGGGATGCAAGGGGACCCAGAGAGCGGACCCCTAACTGGTCTTAGACCCAAACTCAGCCATCAAGTGGCATTCAAGTGGGTGTGCTGGGTAATTAAAGTCCATAAAATGTTATTGCTTTCACCCTCGCCCCACCTGCGGACATTTCAGAAGAGGAGGACACACGACAATTGGGATTTTGCCTTGATACTGATGTTGCTGATTCAAAAAAAAAAAAAACAAGCAAAAAATGTCTAACTTCCAAAAGATTTAAAAAATATATTTTTCTCTGTTTCTCTCCTGCAACCTAATTTCCACTTTTATTCATAAAAAGTTAAGTTTCTGCCTTGCTTTGGTGTATCGCTTGTGTTTGGATGTGTGTTTAGGGATGTTGAGAGAAAGCTGATTTTTCTGCTAATTTTGAATTCAGTGTGTTTGATTCTTGAGATGTGACCCTATTTCAGTGAGACTCAGCAGGCACAAAGCATCCATCATGCAGTCATAAAATACAGAACCTAGTACAAGAAGACTGAAAATCTCCACCAACAAAATCTGTGATAAAAAGAGAGTTTATTCTGTCTGACAACTGATATTATACAAAATGACACACACTAAGTAGGACAATTACAGCTCATTTGTACTCATTTGAGTTCATTTCACACTCAGAAAATATATTAAAGAGACAGATCAGTCAGTGTGTTCAGGAAGCCGTTGGTGCTCACTGTTTGATATGAACAGCATCAGTTCACGAGTAGTTGACCTTCACACAGAACGTCTCTTCCGTCTTCTCCTCCAGGTTGTTCACGTACACCAGTATCTCCACTGAACCGGGACTCTGGCTCGGGGCAAATCGTAGTCCGATAGTATAACTTTCTCCTCCGCTAATCTGAACACAGTGAACATATCAAACACACACTTCATTTACATCGGAACCTGATGGCTTCACTACATGATGATATTTTATTGATCCTCCATTCAGTTAAAATTGGGACAGAATAGCTATTAACTGTTTTATTCGTGTGTTTGCGTGTGTTTATTTCTATTTGGACAGGAGCAACTGGGCCTTTGCTTTCAGAACCCTGTTAGAATTCAGGACCAACTTGCCAGTGAAAGGATTTGAAGTATACAAAGATGAGGCTTGTCTGATTCTTCTACTTAAGTCTGTGCTCGGTAAGTGAAATAAAGCCTATTGTTTTATAATTTTTTTATGTTTAAATCTTATTGTATATTCAGTGTGTGTTTGTTCTTAATCATTTTCTTTTATCTAACATCACTTTGTTCCATATGCAAATTCAATTTATTATAATAATTTTATCTTAATGGGTATTTGTTCAGCGATGTATTGATGTAATCTCCTCAGAAGAATGACAATCAAATCCGAATGTGACATGGCCAACCTGCCTCACTCCATATGGTCTGCCTTTTTAGATATAGCCTTTATAGAGCAAACAGGACTGATGGTGCAGAGCCCATGAAAAGGTGGTTCCTTTCTTACCAGGGTAGATTGCCATGGTAACTTAAGTGAACACATAACCTGCTGTGGAGCAGAGCTCAATATGTATGAAACACTGACTGACCAATAAGATCTCTTGATCAAAGACCTCTGTGAGCTGATCGAGAGAGGGGGGAGAGAGAAACAGACAAAACATTTTGTCTGCCCTGTGTTTTTTAAATATAAAATGTATGCTGATTTACAGTTATCATCCTATAGCAGAGACACCAATATGATACTGAATGGGTTAAAGTTAACCGTTATGTGATGTCATCAGTGTTGAGCAGCACACTTGTCTTGTACGATCAGATATAGTCTACAGTTTTCAGTTATTTATCTTAAATATGACGTCTGTGTAGGTTCTCAGTCATCCAGGTCATGGTAAATGTGAAGCTTGATTCAAAGGCAACTGGACCTGGTTGAAGATCTTGAAGACGTTTCACCTCTCCTCCGAACGGCGTCTTCACTTCAACTGAAGAAGATCAAGATCTTCATCCAAGTCCAGTTGCTTTTGGATCAAGCTTTAAATCTTAAGTATGACACATTTGTTTCACATTTTTATGCATCATACGGCTCGGAAGGAAGAAAAATGAACACCAAAGTAAAGGAAATAAACTGTTATTGATTTATTGAATATTAATTATTCCATGATGAGGGTGTAAAATCATGACAAACTATGACAGGAGGAGGATTACTGATATGTGGTTGTTGTTTTTTTTTAAATATAACCCTACACTCACTCTTGTTAAACTTTTTTCTTGTCCTTGTTTTCCGCAGTATTTTTAACAGACATATTGCGAAAGCCAGCGATGGATTTATAGGTCAATTTGGGGGATTTATGCTGTAATCTTCCCCCAAAGCCCAGCAATATAGATCTGGACCCCTGACAGCTGATTTTATCAAGGCACGGTAGTTACTTTAAAAAAAAGAGTCCAGTGTCTTCACATTTGCCTAATGCTGGGGGCACAATAAATTCTTTATAAGACACCCGCAGCCTTGCTGACAAGATGGAAAACACAATGAGCTATTTTTCACTCTCCGTACCTCCTTTTGTCTTATTGATGCAGTGTCTGCTGGACAGCAGCAGGGAGACTCTTGAATAGTTTATGTGGAAACAGACTCCCATTGCATCTCATTCATTTATTAGTTCATTTAAAATGCTGTTTTTCCCGTTTGTTTTTTCCATTTGATCACACCTCAGCAATTGAAAGGCAATGACAACAGTGACTTCTGTTCTTCCCGTCTGTGCGAATTGAGCTATTATAGGCACTCAGACTGACAACCTCATAAAACGTCAGCAGTGGTGACTTTGTTATATTCCTTCTGTTTTGTTCCAGGCTAACAAGAGAATCAGTCACTTGTCTAACGGAGGAGTAATAAGCAGTCAACGTGTGAGGTCAATAATCACTGATGTCTTTTACTTTGCTGTCAAGATTACAGGAAAGTCATAAACATTCATCCTCATCCGTTACGCTCGACAATAAAAGTTTATTTTTCCACACAAAATGACTTATATTCACCTTCAGCGTGCAAGTCAGAACTTTTTTTTCACAGTGTCAGTCTGCAAAGTTCTTCATGGGGAGCAGCACAGTCGGTGATGATGCAGCATAGCCAAATCATGATTCTAACTGAGAGGAAACCGAACCTGATTCAGAGGCTGATAACAGGCTCAAATGTCAGTGAGAGACAGAGTTGAAGTAATTCAATTCCAAAATGTCTATTTCCTCGTCACCACCACACTCTACCCTGACTATACTACAGCTCCATCTTCACTCTGTTATAGTTTAAAAGTGCACTGGAATGATGACCTTCAGTAAAAGTATGTCTGCACAGGAGGCATTCCAGACATGTGTTATAAAGGCTGTCCATCTCATGTATGCCTTTGTAACCCTCTGAGCATTGAGAAAACAAAGATAAGATGACCTCTGGTCAATATTGTGCCTGATTGCATGCTGTGTGAACACAGACAGAAGAACAAGCTTCTGTTGCTGCTCTTCAATTGTGCTGCTTACAGAGTGAGTAGAGTTTCAACAAACTTTTTACATTTATTGAAATAAAGTTTTATACAAGTTGATTGTTTTCTTTATGTTTTAAGCAAACAGTGTAAATATTAATGGATGAAGACTGAGTGACGTCGCCCATCTGTTACTGCAGGGGGCTCTGGAAGCCCATCGGTGGCGCTCGCCATGCTGCCAATCCTGTCTCAGACTAATTTCAGTCAACCTAACGACAGGCGGAGAGATGGAGCTGAGGCAGGTTTTAAGCCTCTTGACAAACCGTTACACCACACCAGCCTGCTGATCAGATCGGCTTCTTATATTGTATGTAACGCTAATCCTTCATAAAATCAAACGGATGAGTTATCAAAAATTCACCCCATGTAGAGTTGTGCTGATTGAAACATGAGCTTACCAGACCTATTTCTGTTTTTGAACCAGGCTGTAAACATTTTTGTAAAAAGAGGCTTTTTTTTTAATGGGGTTTGTGTGTGACTTCTGGGGCTCCTGCAGCCAGCCTCAAGTGGACACTTAAAGAACTGCAGGATTTTTCACTTCCGCATTGGCTTCATCTTTAAACACCGGAGGATGCAGCTTGGTTCTAAGACATTATGGAAACATTTTTTCTGCTACACTTATGATTAAGAAACTTGAAATACAGATGTGTTACCTTATTTTAATTACTGTACTACAGCAGGGATCCTTATCTCTGTTTTGTATCGTGTTTTCTTACAAAATAATGCATTAAATTGGATGTATATCTTCATCATCTGGGGGAAGTGACAAGTACATTTACTCAAGTACTGTCAGATTTGACTTACTAGTAATTTGAGTGTTTCCTATTAATGCCAATCGACTCGTGTTTGTACCAAACGATTTCAATATAAAGGTACAGTTTTTAGTACAGTAATTGTACTTTTATTTTAAGCCTCTCCTTATTGAACTGATAATGTTTCTGATATCATGAAGTGAGAGTGGGGAAAGTAGAACAAGCCAACAGAACCATTTTCTTGCTAACAGTTGTTTGCTTATATGTCCTTTGAGGTTTGTCACATCAAAAACATGCACTTTGGTGTGGAGGAAGCTGCTTCTACATTGGTATGAGCTCGATTAGTGATGTGTGAAAAAGCGATAAAATGTTTCACTTTCCTAATGCTTTATTTTAAATAGGATTTTATAAGCTTGGTAACCTTGGTAACACTGTGATATCTATCAATATGTAGATTGTGTTGTGCAGTATTGAATGCTTTTGTGGTTATTTCCAGAATTGTATTGCACACTGGATTAAAAAAAGGTTGAAAGAAAGGATTCCTACCATTCATCATTGACATTCTGGGATTAAAGCTAATGCTTATTATTTACAGGTTTGTAACATCACATGGTACCATTTATCCTGTGAAACTACCTGAGCTGCTGCAGGTCTTGGTTTCCTCCAGCAACAAAGAGAAAGTTTAGTCAAGGAGAAATGTTCCCTTTGGTGTTATTCACAGTATTGATTTTCTGAGAGAAAGAGAACTGCATGACTTCCTGCCTTATCTCACCTGGAACTTATCCTCTTTGAACTGGAGCAGATCGGGATGGTCAGAGCGGAGCAGAAACGTGCGACTGCGTGTGTAAGGGTTGGTGTAGGTGATCTTCCTGGAGCTGCCACGCCCACCACCAACTGGGACACACACTTCAAATGCCTGCGCACAGACACACACACGCACACACGCACACACACAAACACACACACAGAAAAAACTGTTCACTGTTGTACTGCTTGTATTAGATTGTTGACGTTAACTATTGTTTGAGTGCACTGGGACTTTCGTAAAACATGTGAGAGTAATGTTTTCTATTGATGCTTCTGACCATCTCCTTCAAATATACAAAAACAGGTGAAGAGAATCCTCTTTTAGATTTTGAACATAGAGAAAGGCTTCCCCTGTCAGCTCTGCTCTTTACCATTTTCCATCAAACCCTCAGCACAGTTATTCAGGGATGAACAGGTGAGAAGAAAAATTACGCTGGGGGGGGGGGGGGCTTAGAGCAGAAGATTTGTCCATGTGTTGATGATGTGTAGTTGTAAAATGATACTAAAAGCTAAATGTATTTCTTCCCAACAGATTTGTCAAAATGTACAATCAGTATCGGTATCAGTATCATGCTTAATAGAAAACTATAAGGCAGCACAAGTAAGACTGCTTCCACACTGCTGTGAATCTGAATACAAAGAAGAATGGTCTCAAACTTTTATTTTGATACCATGTTACGATCTGTATTGTGAAGTATTTTCCTATCAGTTTAGTTCAACAATTTGAAGTTCATCTAAAAATAGGATTTAAGGACGGTAAGGTTTCTGCAGTCCACATGTTTTTGTTAATTTCTCCTGCGGGCATAGCCAGCTGTGTGTGAAAAGGATGAGGTTAGTACTGATGTTCAGCTTTGCATGTTGTATGTCACAGTATCAATATGTGTTTGATACTGTAGATTAATGTGAGATGTAGTTTAAAGTGCTTTGAGAGGTCAAAATACCCATTTAAAGTGCGTCCCTATCCTTCTTCTCCTTCTATCCCATTTTTCACATCCGGCACAGTTTCAGCAGATGGCGGTTCATCATGAGTCTGGTTCTTTAAAGGACGTTTTTTTTTATTGCCACTGTAACTTTGCTAAATGTTGATTAGTGCTCATGATGGATTAAGGTTGGGTTTTTGTAACACAACAATGAGTAAGGTCTTTTTATCTGCTTTTTGTAAAGTGTCTTGTGATAACATCTGTTATCAAAAAAGACAGGTAACAGGGTTTAAAGTGTGAAGACAGCAGGTTGGATGGTCTGTTGGTCTGTATATGTGACTCCTGAGGAGGATGCTGTGAGGACATCCAGTTTTCCCTCTGTTATAAACTTTTTCCCCCTGTTTCTTTGTTAGCAGAAGGCCATTGTTGATACACCTAATGAGTTTTTAAGTTTTTCTTTTGTGGTCAGCCTAAATAAAGTTTACTCCCTTGAGAACTCAAAATCCTGCATGCTTGTCCTTTCTTTCAGCTCACCCTGCCTGCACTCCACAAGTACAAGAATGTGGTTAACAACATTTTTTTATTTTTTTTTATTTTTAGCCCTTTATTATAGACATAGGACAGTGGATAGAATTGGAAACCAGGGACAGAGAGAGTGGTGGAATGACATGTGGGAAAGGAGCATCAGGCCAGACTCGAACCTGGGCTGTCGGCCTGGAGGACCACAGCCTCCGCACATGGGGCACAAGCACCAACCACATGGCCACTGGCAACCCCCACACATTTATTTTTCTTTCATGTTGAAATGTGATATTAAAATGAATAGACAGATTGATTGACATTTGAACAATTAAGAATAACATGAGACCCCTCTCTAAATTATACTTTACTATTCCATCCACCTAGAAAAATTCATCAGATAATGTTCATTGAGAATGAAAGAAATAATTCTGACGTGTAATTTAAGAAAATAAAGGATTAAGGTGTGCACTTTACAAAGTACCTCAACCAGTTTGGGCCATTCTGTAATCTACTTGCAGTTACAATGTGCCCCCTCACAAGGGGGTCTACTAATCCTACACTGGCACATATTCCCATTATTATCACAAGTATACATTGAAATGCTTAGGCCACTGTTTATCCAACTGGACTTTGTGTTTATCCCTATGCTTCCCTCAAAACAAAGTATATATGGATACAATGTTTTAAATGATTGAGGTTAGAAACAATAAAGACATAAAGGTGGATAAGATTGATATCAACTCCACCAACATGACTTGCACATGAGATGAAAAAAACACACAAGTTTGGTAATGTTAGCATCACCTTTGACAGTTTGACTATGTAGAAAGGCTAGCAAGAAGTTATAGAGGGGATTGATGAGTGTAAAGCAGAGTAGAGCTATGCTTAGCCTTTGATTGACAATAGCCATCAACGGGTTGGGAATGTTCAGCTGACCCAGGAAACCACCAGGATGGTTCAATAGGCGCTGAATGTGACTGAGTCACCAGCAGCTTTGACTTAGAGACCTTTGATGGAGCTGTCCATCGTATCAGGGCCCTAAGAAGTGCAAACACATGAGCTGCAGTAAGAACTGTATTTAAAATCATGTTGGCAATGACCATATAACTAAGCCTCACCATTGGAGAAAATGGGTTTGATGTGAAATGCTAGTGCTTTAACTGGGGAAATACATAAATACATTAAAAGAAAAAAAAAAAAAATCCTCTTAAAGTATTCCGAACAAACAACTTATACCTTTGACAGGACAGGCCGATGGACATTCAAACAGAGTAGCCAGGCGGTGATAATTCGCCTCTGCTCCACGTCCACTGCGTTCACATAAAAGAAGCGACTTCCTGCTTGCCATGGCTGCACCTTCACCTGAAGCTCCTGAACTGCTGCTGGAGGCAACAGGAACACACTGTCTGGGTCCACCTAAGGAAGGGAACGGGAGTCGGCGGTAAATGGATTGAGTTTGGCATGAGAGTGTCAATCAAGATGTTGTTCATTGTGTTGAATGAAAAAGAGACACAAAAAGAGAAAGAAATGGAGGCATTGAGCAAGGGACACAAAGAATTTGATACATTATGGAAAAAAAACATTTTATAAGAGGTAAAAAGAAGGTGTAGAAAAGGACAGAATTAATGTGGAAAAGGTGGTTAACAGAGTCGGGAGGGGGGCATACAGATTACAGGAGAGAGTGGGTGGGGGAAAGGGTGAGTGAGTTTTGGTGGAAAAGCAAAGAGAGGGGGCAGACAATGAAATGGAGAAATTCGAGGCAGAAAAGTGACAGAGAGACAGAAGGATGTGAGAATGAGATTTACTGTGCAGCTCCTTTTCAATCTGTGGAGAAAAAGCAAAGCTATTCTCTGGCGGTGAGCTTTATCCTGTTTTATAAGACTCCTCCGATGCGATCCACAGTGAGCTAACCTGCCGAGAGTCAGATCAAAGCAGCAGCTGATGCATACAGTGAAATCTAAAAAAAAATAAAAAATAAAAAATAAAACATCTGTCGCTCTTTCAGCCAGTAGCCTATTTCTTCAGAACAGGTTTGGGTTGCAGTGTATGCACCATGGTGGCTTTGGCATGGTGACAGTCCATCACTTTTTTTTGGGGGGGGGATATGAGTGGGTAATATTCAATGCCCTTTTATTGCAGCTTTAACTGAGAAGCACTGTCAAAATCTCTCCACTCTTGGACCGGGCTATGAATAAGAAATGATCTCTTTTAACATACAGGGCAATCTGACAGTCCTGGAGACACGTTTTCATGTGTTCAGGGTGCACACAACCATTGCTAATTTTTTGTATCGTGTGAAATTGTGTCGCATCTTGATCTGATATGTTTGCAGGAAGTAGTGGGGGAACCTTATAAAATGAAAGGAAAGGATTTTAAATTCTCGATAATGACTTGAATTTCAACCTTGGGTTAAAAACAAGACTAAAAAATTGCCGCTCTTTTCATTTGTTACTTCTGCTAAGAGAACAATTTACAACAAAACGTATCAGATATCTGGTTTGGAAAAATTGCAGAATACATCATGTATGACCTCCGCTGTTTTGATTCAGAGCTAACTCTCCTTTATGTTGCTTTACATGTTTGTCTCCCAATTAAAAAAAAAGATATCAATAAAGAAAGGAAGGCAACATGTAGCCTTAGCCACATGGAAGGAAACAGCACAGACACCTTACTGGTATGTTAGATTGTGTTTTATATGTGCGGGGGGTAGTGGAAGATGTACATATGCCACAAACACTGAGTACACCACCCTAAGATCAAAGAGATCATATTTCAACTCAAAGGAAGAGTTATGTAAATAATAATAAATAAGTGCTTTAAATTCTGGATGGATTTCAAGACGAATCAAGAAAGACTCTCTATTAGAAATCATCATGGATGCATAAAAAACTACAACTGACAACCAACTTGATCCTGACTTATATAAATGAGTTTAAGTTGAAAGAAAATTATCCAAGATAAGACTTGATCAAAATAAACCGTAAATGTATCAGACCTGATTCCACATGAGGTTAGAATAGGCACACTCAAACACAAAGAGAACACCAACATGAGGTTCCACCCAATTACTCAGCAGCTTACTTACAAAATGGCTTCAATACGTGTTTCTTACACTTTACTAGTTTGAGATGCTTAAATATTATTTCATGAGGCGTTAGTTTCCATGCAGATTACTCATGGGTGGTAGACGAAAAGAAAGAAAGAAAATAAAAACAAGAATCTCCCAGACTTGATTTGGAATATAATTAACTTGGACCTGGCTTGACTTGCCTACTAGGTTAGGCGTTTTTGTCAAAATGTATGAAATTAAAAGATTTACTGAGACTCTGAATCATTAAACAAAGCAAATGTTCGCAAACCTGCACGTAAAGTTTGATTATGATGTCAGTGATTGTGCTTCCAGGGCATAGACTTCACTTGGGAGGGCCATCCAGCTACAATAATGTTATAATAATATACTGTATAGAGTTGCCTTCACCTCTGGATGTGGTCAGAAATGAGGTATTCAACATGCCAGGCCAGCATTGAGAGGAGCTGAGGGACTGCTGAAGACAACCCAGCCACCCAGAAGAAATATAAATAAAGGAACAGGTAGGATTACATTTCACTGTGATTGTACCTTACATGGAAACATGTGATAAATAAACTAGATTGATTTATTCCACAGGGGCATTGCACAGACTGAAAACATGATTTGAACACTGTTAATCAACATAAACATCAACTTATAATTACTGTGTTTTTAACTGACTCAAAACTGGGCTCAGTGTCGAGTTACTCTTGAAGTTCCGTACCTCAATCTCCTGGGGGTGTGATGAGAAACATTTGACCTTGCGGACAGCCTGCCTCCCCCTCAGCACCAGCGATTGACAGTTTCTCTGGCCAGTCACACAGCTGACATCCACCCGCTCCAGGAAATGCACGTAAATCTGCCAGACCTGGGAGGGTGCTGCCATCCACTTATCACTACAGAAGAAAAACATCATCAGGAACAATTAAGCTGAGGCTCACTGGAGATGCTGCAGACACAGCGTGAGGTCGAAGATGAGTAGGGGGCTGATCTGCTGCTGTGCTAGCATTTTAATAAGCAGCAACATCCCCATCATCATCTTCATCACCATCCTCCTCCTCCTCCACTCACTGCTGACAAGAAGGGGATTCAGTCTCAGTGGCCTTCTGAGTGCTGTGAGTGGGAGGCAATATACCTCACCTGTCACTTACTCAGCCCTGCTCTGTGGCAACAGCACTCAAGGAGCGTTTGGGGATATTAAGAACAGAATACAAGTGATATGGGTTTTTGAAAGGAGAGAGAAAAATGCCAGTGTTGGATTGACTGAACCTACAAAGTAAGCAGCTGCCTTACAAACATTGACACTGGATCGCATTACATGACACACATACTGAGCGTAAAACACCCAGGTCCAATGTGTGTTATCTTTAGATAATGTATGGTGATGACAGGATGAATATTCCCCAGCAACCTGGACAATTTTCTAACAACACACTGAACCCAAAATCCCCACATACTCTGTCAGTGCCACAGATTTGCTCCGCCACGGACCATGGCGCCCGCTGTGTGAACACAATGATTGACTAGAGTGGCAACGAACTACAGTGTAGTGTGTGGCCCTGACGGAACGTGGCACGCACAGAGCATGTGGAAATTGGGGGTTATTGTCAAAAAGATTGTTTTCTTCCAGGAGGACTGGATGATCTCATTGAAAAGCATTTAATGAAGCTGCCTTGTAAAGCCTTTGTGAACACGTTGTTTAACATGTCAGGTTTAGTTGTAATCTTTTATTGGAAGCAGTTAAAGTGAACCTCCCCCTGTGGAGATTCTACCTTTTGTAGCGACATGCAGAAGTGTTTCATGAGCAGGCACCTGTTTTGTTTGTGTGTTTCCAACATGCACTAGGATATAATTGTGCACACAGGAGTGTGAGGATGATGCAACCTAACTTCTGCCGACAAAGTAGCAGATTATGACAGGAACATTATTTAAAAAAAAAAACATGTCCTCGCAAATGTTCTATGCTGAAAAGAGATGCATTCAACACATTAGTCTGGCCTCAAGGATACATATAATGGGCTTTACTGGGAACACTGAAGAGCTAACATTAATGTGTTTACCAGAAACTCCACAGGCTTATTTTGAATAGTGTTTCTATTAGACAAGCAATCCCCAACACACCAGTTATGTAAAATATATGTAACCTTAAAACTTGATGATACCCATTATATCAGAGTCTAATGTTTTTATTTGTATTTTTTACATGGGGTAGAAATTGGCAATGCGTATAAACAAACCCCAAATAATATACATAATATTGTATTATCAACATGGAGATAAGTGGATGGATGGATGTTTGACTTCGGGCAGTCAGACCACCAAATCTCCATCTGATAAGGTAATGAATTCAAGCCTGTGTGAACAATTTAATTACTCAAAAGAAAATGCTTATTCAGGTTAGTGTGTGTGTGTGTGTGGCTTCTATCTTCATCGTGTTTGTCGAGTAGAAAACACTTACGTAAAAACCATCACAAAGAACATTTTTATGTTTGGACTGGGACTCCCAGGCACTTTCAAGTACACATCCTGAGGCTCCCCTGGCACCTGCACCAAAAACAGAGAATTGTAAGATTAAAAAAGGCAGAAATAAAAGAGATTACACATCAACACTTCAAAAGTATAAGGCGTGGTGCTAGTGCAAGCCTTTTAGGTATCAAAAGTGGTTGTTCATTTCCTTCATTCTCTCACCAGCATCCTTGTCTGGCAGATGATATTGGGGTCACTGCAGCGTACTGAAATGTGAGTCCTAACATCTGGTTCTTCAACCGGACGACCCAATAGGAAGAGAAAGGAGAAGTGGTTTAGTACTGATGGTCTTGATTTCATCTGATGAAATCTGGCCCGTCAGTAGTCTCCTATGCTTACCTGTGGGGTCGTGCCATGGCGGCAGACGGATGGCTTTCTTCAGGAAGCAGAGCTCGGGGTGGTAAAGGCGAAAAGTCTGATAGACAATGTGAGGTGTTGGCTCCACGCTCAACTGGAAGATGGCCATTGGTTTGCCATCCTCTGCTTTAAATGTAACCTGTGGAGAGAGTGTGAAAAGTCAGCCGTGATCCCAGCAGCATTCAACTTTTTATCTGTTGTGTAATGTCTATGTTAATCACTTCACTTGTATTCAACAAACATCAACAACAAAATCTGCCAGATTTAAACCACGAGGGATCAGACAATACCAATATATATACATCAAACAATACATACTATGTATAAACTAGTGGTTACAAATGTTTGGTTACAACCCCTTAAACGCACAATATGTAAATTCAGCCACCAGGGGGCTCTTAATCAAAGCAATAACAAAAGATGATGCCAAGGCTAGCAGGGAATCATGGGAGTGATTCTCTCTGCTACTCCCCCCATTCCCTGATGAAAACGAACTCCAAGCTAACCGTAGTCATGACGACAAAACAAACCTGAGGGAGAGAATATATGCACCGACAATGTAGCTAAGTATTATAATGTACATGACGATTGTATCAGCACATTCAGCAGTAGTACGGTAGCTTTGAGTAGCAGTTCTCCTTATGTAGGGGTCTTTGACATCCGGTGTTTACACAAACATGTCGTTTCTGTCATGGCGCGCCATGACAAGACATATCCCATTACAAAAATAAAATTACAGATCTCTCTGGCTTTGATAACTGTTGGAAATATTTTAGATTATGTAAGTGCTCAACTAAAGAAAATATGTAACAGGTTAAGTCCTTTTTTAATCAATTTAGATAGTTCAGTGTAAGCATTGTAATAAAACTCTACACATTGTATATTTAAAAACCTCTTATCACTTAAAACCCCTTACATAAAACAAATGACTTATTCTGCACACAAAGGGAAGCAGTTGAATCAAAAAAGGGCCTGAAGAAGGCAAGTATTCAGCAGGGTATGCAAAAAGCAGAATTTAAAAAGAAGCAAAAACAAACAAAGGTATTTTTGACCCAGAAATAAATAACTCCTTTTTGTTTTTCGAACATTAGATTTGTATTTGGTCCCACAAGAACATCCTGAAAAGAACCATCTCATTTTGAGCCAAACATCAAGCGAGAACACGTGGACTTTTTGTTCAAAACATTCAAAATAACACTGCAGGCCCCAAGACTTCGAGAGCAGAATATTGAAGTTGACTGTTATGGATGTTAACACTTTAACTGCAGTATTTTCATTATATCTTCTCTATATATCTGGGTTTAAACTATTATGAGTGCTTTTGCTAAGTTCCTAGATATCAGGCTTAAATTTGGTGAGTACAATCTATCTCGTTTTACACATTGGAATATAGAGTCATATAAAAAGTAATATTATAATATTAATTGTCATTAATATATTATAATATATATGAATGACAATTACAATATTTTATAAATTTAGATTTTTTTTCTTAGGGGAATTGTCAGCAGATCATAGATATCATGAGCTATGCCTTAAATGGCACCATTTCAAATTCCCTTTTATGCAGCTTTCTCTGTAGAGAGTGTGTGTGTGTGTGTGTGTGAGTGTGTGTGTGTGTGTGTGTGTGTGTGTGTGTGTGTGTGTGTGTGTGTGTGTGTGTGTGTGTGTGTGTGTGTGTGTGTGTGTGTGAGTGTGTGTGTGTGTGTGTGTGTGTGTGTGTGTTGCATCCCTTTAGCATAAAAAGCAGGTGAGTAAGTGTTATTTCCAAACCATCCTGTATTATTAGAAATGAAGAGGGTACCTGTACTCTAATTCCTCGACTCTCTTAAGTGATACAGATCTGGATTTGCTCTGTGTTTCTTCCTGGGGCACTACAGATCTAATCAACATACACAGCTTCTTTTTTTTATAAGCAATCTTTTAGAAGTTTTATTGAATAAAATCACCAGAGAGCACAGGGATGATAGAGAAGGCTGTCTTCTAGAACATAAAAGTTGGCATCTTCCCGACTTCTGAAACCCCCACAGACCAGTTGAATGTGCTTTGAAGTTTGCTGCATTAAAATAGCCCTCAAGATCTGTGCAAATCAACACAAGTGTCTTCACACATATACATAATTTACATAGGGACAGCTGAGATAAACACATTCTTAAACATATGCAAACATGTTGGAATTGCTAACATTCTCATGCTCCACTTGATTTAAATGTGTTACACATAGCTATAATTGATTTCAGATAGTATAGGTCTCATAAAAACTTAATTGCTGGATATGAATTATGAAATAATATTACCTCTGAAATACCAGAATAAGCCATAGACATGCTACAGAACTGAGTTTCCTTTGACTGTTTCATGCAACAATGTGCTACAGAGCTATTAAGAGACGCAGGTTAGCAATGTGACCTAAGACGTGAATGTCAGCTGATTGGGCAGGCTGCCTACACAACATTATGGGTCAATTTGGGGTCAGATATTCTGACAACTATGGATGGCTATGAAATGTTCTGTCAATATTCATGGTCTGTAGAGGATAATTCTCTTATTTTGGTGACTAACTGACCTTATCTCTTATCAATTGTTCCTGTCACTGTCAGAATCAGAATTTCCCTTTAATCAAAGATGCCCAGCCACCACCATCGGACTGTGTCGTCCCCACAACCACTGCCGTCCTCATTCATGCACGGCCTGCTTCGACTTCCACCTCAGCGGCACGGAAGTGTGGACAACAGGAACGAGAGGAATACAAAGGAGAAATCCTTCCTGCATGTTATCCCATAATGCTCTTTTGTAAAGTGTCTCGAGATAACACTTGATATGAATTGGCGCTATACAAATAATGACTGATTGATTGAACACACTCGCTTTCTTCCTCGTCCTGTCAATTATTTACTGACAGGACGAGGAAGAAAGCAAGGAGTATCCTATCAGATAACTCCCATCCTCTCTTCTACCAGTTTGAGCCACTGAGCTCGGGGAGGCGCTACAGAGTCCCTCTGGCAACCAAAAATGTCTTTAAGAAGTCATTTATTCCAAGTGCAGTCCTTAATTCTACAACATGACTGATGAGATCTGAACAATGAACTGATCTTTAATGTGTAAACCTAGCTGCTATGTTGTCTGTGTTATTGTTGGTTTGTTTATTATTGGATGTTCTTTATACTGTGTTATGTATATGGAGAGCCTAAGGCAAATTTCCCCCTCTGGTGGACAATAAAGACTTATTCTATTCTAATTCAAGAGATGTCATAGACGGAATCATGTGGTATCTGCTGTAAATATTCAAAATCAGGCTAGAATTTCCACTTGTTCCCAAAAAAGTCTACTGGGCCAGGTTGCCAAGAAATGTACTGAACATATTCATGCTTTGGATGAATAATTTCTCCTTTGAAAATTATACTAACTGTTCTACTGTTTATGTTTGGCTAAAGGGAATCCTTATGTTGAGGTTCACTGATCACGGCAGATTTCTTTCAGATGAATAATCTGATGTGAAATAAACGTAATGAGATAAAAAATGTGGAAAACTGTTTTCAAATGCGTTTGTTTGATGAGAAGTTAGCAGTGTAGAACAATCAGGTGTTTTTCACTGTTATTAATGACATACAAGAACAGCTATCGTGACTTTCAGCAGCGTGTTTTGGGGGAACTACTCAGATTTATGCATAGCCCTCTATCGTGAAATAAAAATTATATATATATATATATATATATATATATATATATATGCTAACTTTAACACATAAGCCCCCGTTTCCTGCAAGTAGTCTGGTTCGGTTCAGTTCGGTACAGTACAGATTTATTGCTGTTTCCACTCTCACAATGTTAGAGTGGTACCAAAATAATCATTCCGATCCTACTTTTTTGCTACTATTCTGTTGGGGTGCAAAGCTTGCAGATCCGACCCTAAAGGGTGAGGGTAGACACACTGCAGTGCGTTGATTAGTCAAAAGAATTATCACTTCCCGTGCTACAGCGGTAATAAAAAAGAGGACAAACACAAAACGTACCATGTTTTGGGACTTTTGGGCCTGTTGTTCCATTTCATTTCTTACTGCAGGCTCAAATAAACACAGCGATACCTCCACTTTTTAACGGCTTTTCTCCCTCATTTAAAACACTGGTGTCTTGCAGTGTATCTGTACCATCAGCTGTAAAAGCAAGTTGCAACTTGTTTCTTAATCAAGGTTAATACTATTCTATTAAGAATCAATAGAAAAAGGTAGCCAGCTCTATTTAAGTAACTCATTTGGCTGACAGCCGGCGCTTATGGAAAGCTCTGTGTGAGTAATGAACTACAGTCCGAAGTTTACTTTCTGCATTTAGCAAACTGATTCACAATCTCAGAATTTGATCCCTGCCAATCAGCAGCTGTCCAAAACATCAATAGGTCAGATTTGTGGGCCCATGCTGACCTGCATGAGTGGCCCATATCTGGCTCTGATGATGTGTGCTGACTGACAGCGGTGCCAGTGCTGGCATCCTGACAGCTCTGCTGTTGGGGCTTGTCAGTTTTAGCGGGACACAGATTTGATCCGGACCCGACCTCTTTGACCTCTTGACAGGAATTTTGCTCTGAGCAGCAGTGCTGACACTGACACACAAATACACACACACACATACTGTATTCAGACACACACAGGCTTGGCAGACTGGCAAATATTTCATCACCCTGTGCAATGGGAGAGCTTCAGGGTACTGTACTCAACACGAACAACAGGATTATTGTGAGCTACTGCGGGTTAGCACATACACCATCTGATATCTTTTTTTAGCAGCATAAATCTGCCAGTAATGTAAGCCGAGATTTAAGCTCACATCTGTAGAGAAAAGGGGCCTAAATTTCAATTTGAAAGGATTCATGAGGAACAGAAGTTAATTTTGCTGACAGCTGTAGCACACAGGGGCTGCTGAGCACATTACGTCAAATGGAGATACAGAGCACATCGACTTATCTCTACACGCGAACAACCAAATTCTCATTGTTGCTCCCTGCTCTAAACTTTCTTACATATTACAAACTGTTGGATAATAGCGTAAAATGGGAAAGTAACTCCCGCATAATGCCATGTGTGCATGGTTCATTTAAAGAAGATTAGCCAGGCGTGTCAGGCTGTCCTCCAATTAGAGATAGTTTAACTTTCCAGCCAGACATTTGCCAGTTGGAGGAGATAAACAATGTTCAGTAAGATAAAAGTAATTTCTAGCATATAATTTTGCTTGACAATCTTGTCTGGCTGGAGTAACTTTTTTGAAATGGTTGACACTTCAAAGCGTTCTTTGTGTCTGAGCTGTGACTGTGTGGGAGTGGAGAGGAGGGACGAGGAGGTGCACTGCCACTCTGCAGACAGTCGTCTGGAAGTGTGTGTGCGTACATTAGAAGTTGTACAAGAGAGGTTAACTCTTCTCAATTCCAATTCAAAAGATTCTAACTATATCATTAAGATAGTTGGTGTTATTTTTGTCTAATCTTCTGAATCCAACGATCCGTGTATGTACGCTAAGATGTAAAAAAAAATGTTTCAAATAGATGACATCAAAGCCCTTTTCATGGCAGAAAAAAACATACTGTACATTCACAATGCATCTCAAATATATAGCTTGCTATAATTCCAGCCTGGAGACAAACAAATGAGGGATTGAGAAGCAGAAGAATAAAGCGGGAGATAAATAAGGTATGAGGCATACAGTTAGAAGCACAGTTTGTACCTTGATAATCTTGGCAGCAACAATATTGGACAGATTCTTCCTTGCCATCCGGGAACCTTTGCCCGTAGGTAGAAAGCTCGGTCCCTGTGAGGATTTGATTAGAGACAGAGCAGTTATCAAAATTGAAGATCATTCAAAAGCAGCATATGACTGTAGAGAAAATATGACTTCTGCACATCATGTATGAAATCTGTAAATCATCACAAGATGCATAAAGAGAATTAAAGAGCTTAAACCCCCCCTCCCCCACCTCGGCTACATAGGATTAGAGCAAAGTGAAAGAGATTTATTGTTTATAATTTCTGGCATTACATTGTCTACCATGTTGCCAATATGTGGGTTCTTTAGAAGAGATCAGTTATAGTAAGCAACCCTCAAGGTGTATACTTAAAACCAGTGATTTTTGGACCACTCAAGGCCAATACATTTTTATCGATTTTCTTGAAATGGAATCTATAGGACTGACTTGTGAAATAATCGTGCACAGTTTACATGCACAGTTAAGTCGAGCTATGGTTATATTTTGATGAAGTCACTTAATTGGACTACTTTCCTTGTGCCAGTAAACAAGCACTGAGGAAAGATGATTTATTGGGAAGTATGTTTGACTCCACTACAATAGATGATGAAATGCCCACCAGCAGCTAGTTACTGCTGGACCTTCTTCCGGTTGGACCCAGTACGTCACATCCAATCAACAAACAAGCTAGCAAGAGGCCAACTGGTTGTATGTCGAACGGTTTAAACATGGACAGCTTGACAGCTCTATACATTTCATACGACCCAACATAAACTGTTTCTCCTATAGTCTGCCTTTTGTCCATGTGGGGTTCTCACTTTGGCACTCGCTATGTTAATTCCTCTGTCTTGTTTTCTTTCCAGCCTTTGTCCACGCTTTAATGCTGTTCGACTTACAGGTCAAAGTCAGGAGCAGGAACTGTAGAGCATGCATTGTACTCCCGGGCCAGTTTGGGTCAGATTGAGGCGTATAAAGGCAAGAGTAAATCGATCCCCAACCTTATATTTATATTGGTGTGTTAGTTCTGAAGTCGTAGAAATTCGACTTCAGTTGGATAAATATGTAAACATGATTTTCAAAAGTAAATTTTTTGTCAGTCACAATGATCCAATTTATTTTGAATTATCATGTAAATGTATTGACTTTTGTTCATCTAAAGGGAATGATTTGAATGACCTTTATTTCTTAAATTATGTGAAGACTGCATGTTAACACAATCATTTTGTCAATGTTCCAGTATTACATATGAATGGTGAAATAAATTGGTACTTGGTAAAAAAACACAGAATCCTGCAAAAAAACAACAACAACAACCCAATGCTAAATATGATTGTATAAGACCAGTCCAAACTTTCCACCAGAATCAACCTCTGGTGTCCTGTACTATACCTGAATGGCCATGGTGTGATCACAGAGAAAGCTCTGGTATTTCAGAGGAATGTGAATGCTCTCTTTTGGCCGGAGGTAAACTCTTGGTCCTGGGGCATCCTCTTCCAAGTGAAACATGTTCTCCTCCAGTGGGGTTGGAGTTTTGGCTAGTGCTTTGAAGTAACCCCACTCCTCTGCGTTAGTGAGAACGCTGGATGGAAAGATAAAAGGACATGGGCAAGATGAAAGGACACCCTTCCTCTTTAAGAGTCCATCAAGGATTAGAGTTGGACTTGAAACACAATCAGGAGAAAGGGAAATGTTCTCTTCATCCAGCAGAGTAAAAAGATACCAAGTGGAGCGAAAGAGATAACTAATGTTTATTCTTTACTTTCAGTCTAACCAGAAGCTTGGTGAACAATGTTCACATTGGCGGCACAAGAAAGGCCATGGGAATGTTGAAATAGTCAAAAAAGCAAACCACACGGAAAGAGCTGATTGTTGATTTGACTTTGTGTAAGGGGATTCTAAGCTGATGGTGGTGTAAGAGGTTTTAGCACTCTGATGCCTGAATATCTACAAATTGGGATATTTTGCTGCTTGTTTTTGGATGGAATACCCACCTGACATCACTGTTCTTAAAAGAGCAACAATGTTTGAAGGAATTTAAAGTAAATTCTGTATCCCAGAGAACGAATATTACACATTCGCAAAGTTAGGTGTCAAGAGAGAGAGTTCCAAAAAAAAGGGAATGGTTGAATGAATTGATGCATCGGGAGAGATATTCTGACTTTAAACGCACTGTGATCAGTTTTACTGGCCATGAAACAGACTCAAATGAATACTGATGCATCTGTATGACCTACAAAAGCAAACAGAATAAGTTTGAAAATAGTGTTACAACACACACACACACACACACACACACACACACACACACACACACACACACACACACACAGTCACAGTCACAGTTTCCATCCAGTCAGTGTCTGATAAGGAGATATAGAGCAAATTCCCCAAAGAGCACATGATTACATTTTTAACAATTGTTCGTTGGGCCGAGATTTTTCTTTAAGACTTCTTCACAGGCATGTTCATAAAATGATCAGCAAAGAGGTGTACAGCGTTGACCGGAGGGGCCTCCAAAACTACAACAAAACTGGAAGTTACACACGGTTGAAGTTAATAAAGTGGGTCAAGCTCCTCTATCACTGTATACTATGTTCCGCATGAATCAACTGTTTTGTTAGACCTTACCTGCTTGGAAACACCTTTGTCCTTCAAACCTCATGCCCTCTTTTTGTAACACAGGTAGTCCTTTTTTAAAATTGTATTCCCCAAGACCAAGCTGAGAGCTGAGAAAATAACCTTGATTATATTATCAGTAGTTTTTAATTGCTTTATAAAGCTTCAGAGCCAGAGCAACAGCTGAAATAATTCAACAAAATTGTTTTCAGAAGCTGTGCAGTACTTTCTATAACTAGTAAACTTATCCTCAAGGGAATATTGACACTGTTATTAAATCCTGGTTAGAGTGACCCAAACAGGGCCAGAGTTTAACAGTGACTTTAAACTGGCTTCCAGCCAATAGGAGCTGCAGATTTTAGTCTCAGTAGGCTCATAACTTACAGAATCCCCTTCTACATTTTCACCCTGTTTCCCTGAAACAACATTGATAATGGTATTTGAACTATTACAACCCCAGGCGTATATTACTGGCTTTGTTTAAGTATTGGTTATTTCAGAACTCGGGCACAGGTCTGATAATACTTCAATCGCGAAGGATCTGCGTTCATACCGTATGAGTTATCAAAACATTTAATGTCCAGTAAATTTGGTTTGCCTTACCGTCATTTTCTTTACTTGAATTCACTTCTTCCTAACCATGTCAACTGACATCATTTGTTCCTGACTCTCAGAAGAGATGAAACTGTTGACCGCCTTCTGTACTTTAGAGACCTTATTTTAATAACAACCCAAAATACCAATCTCTGCCCTGGGAGCTTTTATTGTGAAACTTTGCTGGACCTACTTGAAGGTACTTCCGGAGCGCCGCTAGAGTGAAGACGATATTGATATATCGAAAAAGTTTCTATTATTTGAAGATTTTCAGTACAGAGGAATGTGTAAAATTAAGTCATCATTGTCTCGAAAGAAATCGAATATGCTGACATTGCAAAAAGCTATTTTTTTTTGTTGTTTTTGATAATACCAGGTGGTTAACTTTAACCTGAGTTAATTATTTAAGGAAAAAAGCGCTATCGCAGTTAATGTCTTTGTTGACACAATAACAGTTAACAACGTTTTTTTGATTAACTGTGCCCACCTCTGGCTCACTTTCTGAGGGAACATGATTGATAATATGAAGCAATACTCCTCTTTGAATTGTGTACATGCGGGAATCGATGGAAAAGGAACCACATAATGGACTCTGCAAGGCATCCAGACAGGCAAACAAAACAACACAATTCCCTTTAGAACTGACAACAGTGCTGACCTTCCATTCTTACAAACCCAGCAATGTTTAAGTATGGTGAATGGTCTACAATCGAAGTGAGCTAATTCCACGGTTGAGCAGTCAACACACAAACGCGGAGCCTTCTTTGACAATTGCGGCTTTCAGGAAGGTGCACAAAGGTCAGTAACCCCATCCCCCTCTTCCCTTCAATCCACTGCAAATGGATTGCCAGGCAGAAAGCAAAGAAACATATAACAGATTATTACAGAGGGAGGTCTTGTTTGCACTACTTCATTTTTACGCACAAATACACAAATGGAGGTGCCGCTTTAAATATCAAAGGATCCAAGCCAAGGGCATTAAGAAGGGAATTTCTCTCAACAACAGAGCAACAGTTTATGATTTTTTCAGCACCCCACCTCACTTACATTAAGGTTCAAGGCAGCAGTCAATTCCATGAAACTTATTTTGAGATTTTTTAAGGCAGAATGAATATTTTGCCTTCGGCTTATCAAGACAACAAAGAGCCTATGATTGTGTTTCATCTGAGTCTCAAATAAAAAAAAAACAAGGGTTGATTCATTTTTACAGAAAGAAAACAAAACAAAGTAGGAAGTGAATAGAACAAACAGAATGGGGCACATAGGAGGAAAAAAACGACACAGAACAAAATGAAGATGATTAAAAAGATATCAAGAGAAAAGAGTGAACGTATGCAGAGATGAGAAAGCTCAGAGGAGAAGCCAGATAATGAGAGGAAGAAACTGTGAGGAGAGAGAGACAGCAGCAACATGAACAGCTGTGAAGCTGTGCAAAGCTGGAGTCTGCTATCTCCCTGATAGGTAGCAGTCACAGCTCACACCATGCTCTGTGAGGCCAAGTGTAAAGGTAGCCATGTGGAGGGAATGCCAACAGGTCAAAAACATTTCCTTTGTGTAAAGAGAAGTCTGACACTGGCTCAGGGTCAGACTGATTCTGTCTGTAGAACACAGAGCTAACCCAAGGCTTTTCTAGTGTTTAAAAAAAAATCCCTTGTCAAATATTGGTTGAAATATTTACAAGGCAGTTACAGCAGAGTAGCCTGAGTGCACTGACCAAACAATGCTTCGTGCAATCCAGGATAACAGAGGTGCAGGAGGCAGGTTTGTGTAGATGTTCTTTAACAATTCAAAGACTTGGCTGCTTACTAATTAAAACTAATGGAGAGTTCTTTATTAACCACTAATAGAGGTCCCTTTGGATCCTATTTTTGGACTTCCTGCTGCTGAGAACCTCCTTGATTTCAACTGCTATCATTTATTTATAAAGCTGTAATTAGTAATATACGTTATATTTCTACTCTTATTATTCGCATTGCTGCTACAGCACAAGTCTTGACTTTGTCCCTGTCTGTCCCAAGCTGCCCTTCAACTTCAACCATGTAAAACACTAATGTGAACCAACAACTATTAGCCACCATAAGAGAACATCAAGGACAAAGCACAAACACAACAAAGTTTGATGTTGTGAAAGCCGTCTCGCTAAACCGGAATGAGAATGACAAAAATATCTTGGATTCTATTGATGAAATACACCAGAGGCCTGTACTAGGAAGTCTTTTTTTTTTTTTTTGCTAAGCAAGGTAATAGTGGATCACTTCTGCATACATCACAATAGTAACTTAAGTCACACTTGTTACTTATTCTGGAGCTGGTTATGTTAGAGATTAGAGAAGAAACCTGTGAAAGAACCACCTACCGACTGATCAATTCTCCTGATCCCAGAGCTCAGTGAGTGGATCAAGAAGGGAGGAGCAAAACCTCTTTGGCTTTCCTGGGTGTATTTCTTTTTCCATCTAGAGATATTTTTAATGTTTGTGAACTGGTATATTCCTACCACATAGATTGATTAAAGCACCGAACCTTCTTACTTCTACTAGAAATGCAAATTTGACCACCTTTCTCTCATACCTTAAAACTGTTTTCAATTATATTAAATCTAGTTTTTCTTTGCACTCAAGTCGCTTTGACATAGCTTCTGTTGCAGCTGAAACATGAAGCACCTTCTGAAATAGCCCAACAATATCATGAGCATGTGTGGAGGTGTCCTGCCAGCATACTCACTAATCAGCTTTTTCAACTATAAAGTTCTGCTTCAAATTTCAAAACGTCAAATCTCTTCACAGGGTGCTCTTCCTGAGGCCACAACAGAGGTGACACAGTCTTTGAGGTCTCAGTCTCTTGGCTCTTACACACAGCCATTTCAAGGAGGGTTACGTTACGCGCATGTTACAGTACGTCTCACATGCAATATGTAACGCATATAGGTGGAATAGTGAGGCGAGATCTTTCAACTTCTGATCCACCAGGGGAGGTAGTAACAGAGACACTGGGACGGGACTGTGTGTGGGAAGCCTGTGGCAGTGTGTAATGTTAGAGTCGGCAAGTTGGAACAGCGCTGTTCATGAATTTCTGAGTGTGTATGTGAAGGTCCTGCTGAGTGTTAATACACCATGCATCTCGTGCTCCTGCAACGCTTTAATGCAATGTGAAATCACACACTGGGACACCAATGTTATGCCATTGCAAATGCAATGTAAATGGTAAATGGACTTCAGCTTGTATAGTGCTTTTCTAGTCTACTAATAACAAGGGTGTAACTACTGCATGGCAGAACTTCATTACAGCACTGTTGTAGAATTGCAGTCTGTAAAGGGCTTCTGTCACTCTTCCCTGGTCAAATTCTGTCTGTGGTGGTGGGGGGGTCAGAGG